GAGAATGAAAGGGAAGGGAGGAGGAAGGGAACAGGAAAGACAGTAGAACAAACCGGACATAACTTTCCTCATATATGCTCATAGATGAATACACAACCAGTGAAACTCCACATCACGTACAACCACAAGAATGAGATCCTAAGTTATACTCCATGGATGTATAATATGTCAAAATATACCCTACTGTCTTATACAAAACAAAACAAATAAAAATAATAAAACAGGTTAAGAACAGAGAGAGCCAGGCTAGTCTAGCCAGAGCCAGGAGGCTAAAGGGATATGATAAGAAACATGCAGGGCAAACAGCAACTTTCTGAGAAACCCAAAGAAAAGCTCAATCAAAATGACAGGTGAGGGTTGAAGGTGTAGTTTTTTGACATATAACACCTGTCCAGCAATGCAAGAGGCCCTGGATTTGATCCCCAGCACTGAAAGGGGAAAAGAAAAATAAAAAGGTCAAGGGGGCTTTGAGCAAGGACCTGACTAAGCCACCTCTCCCAGAATACATATGCCTGCACCCTACCACCCAAGACCACCAACTCCACCACTCCCAGTAGGATACAAACCCCATGGTGGCCCAAATAACCCAACACTTGGTCAGGTAATTCCTCAAAATGGCCCACAGGAATTCAGACCAAAGTGGCCCAATTAGATTCCACCACTACCCAAAATACCAAACAGCCTCTCACTAGTCTAGGAAAGGTCTGGGATGCTAGTGAGTCAAATGGACTATGAAATTCCCACTCCCAGGGAGATTATTCAGTCTTCCCCTTGATACTGCCTCACTGATTACAGGCCCACTGATTTCTTTCTTAATAATAGACAGCTTAGATAAAGCTGTGTGAGCCCAGAAACCTTTCCCAATCTGACCCATCTACCACCCCACACCCTGAGTTGTAGCCAGATGGAACTATATAGTACTCCCACTTTCTGGAAGCTTACTCATGCTGTTCACTCTGACCAGAAACCCTTTGCTCAGTCTGGAAAAATCCTAGTGATGGCCCACTCCAACCACTAGCTGAAATACTTAACCAGTGCTCACTCTCCACCACATGCTTTCCAAGGACTTGCTGCAGCTCCTTCCCCAGGCTCATCCTCATTGATGACTGCTTCTGCCATCTATCTTTGGTACCTCAATGTCTAGCTTCTCTCAGGTGCTCCATTTGTATTTGTTGAATGAATTTTTTAAGCTAGTTCATCTTCTCCTCTGATATGACAGCAGGGAAATAACTGGATTATGTTGGAAGTTATACTAGAAATAGCTTCCTATTAAGTGAAATGCTAGTCTCAATCCCACCAAGTAAAAACCTTGGAGGGAAACTGTACTCATCTCTTTGCAATCAGGCACAAAGGCCAACATAGGATGAAAAACAATTCATGGCTCCTACCTCTCCTGGGTAGTCTAGGGCAGTGTGTTCATGGACTTCCTATGGGGTGGCCAGGGGGAGGGTGCTTGTATCTCCCTTAAGTTACCCTTAGCACTAGAGTTAAAGACTATCCCTGTGTTTCCTGAATGAATCAGAAATGTCAGGGGAAAAAAACAATGAGCTTCAAGTTCTACAGAACTCATTGTACATTAAGACCCAAATAGCCCAGAAAATGCTAAGCAACATCGACAATCAGTGGAAACTAAACAGAGTATGCTGTCTGCAACCAGCACACTACAATCAGGTAGTGTATCAGCTCACAATGGAGAGAAGAGAGGAGACAGGAACACAGGCAAAGGAGATCAAAGAAGAGTAACTAAAATGAAAAGCCCTGTCTGAGAAGGGCACCTGGCAAACACAGATGTTGACATAATGTAACTGACACCTACCAAGCAGGTTGATGTGGTAGGATTAACAAGGACGGCTTAACAGAAAAGATTTGAAACATTTATTTAAAACCAATAAAGAGTCCTTCAACATATATCTCAGTCTTAAGAAAATTTAGCCCCCAAGAGGCAATTCAAGCTAAAATATGATGCATTTCATGAAGAAATTTCTATAGGTCTAATGAAAACGCTAAGAAATCCAGGACAGAATGGGAAGCACAGGTAAAGCACTTCTGCTGCCTAACAAAGTACTATGGCTGTCTCAACCCAAAGCATGTCTGCAGAGAATGGATTGTCGCACTGTGAACTCAACTAGCCACATTTTTCATGGGACATCATGTTTACTTGTGGGAACAACAGACACACCATGGTTAGACTTGCGTGTCTGACCTATATTTCCTCAAATATGAAGAAACGGATCCTGACACTTAAAAAAAAAGACAACATTTGTTGCCAATGATAAGAAGTTGAACATTCAAGCAAAATATCTGAATTTTGCAAAACTGTTTCCCAATACTTAAAAGACATACAGATAAGTAGGAAGGTTTTATGGGTTTTGGTGGGGGAAGGGGGTTGCTTTGCTTTTTTGTTTTTGTTTGTTGCTAGATGGCACAGGATTTTGAACCAGAGTCAATTTACAAATTTATGGTATTTTATAAGCTTGGTTAAGTTACTTTTCTTACTAGCTTTAATGGGTTTTTGTTGTTTTTTAAATAAAATTCAAGACAGTATTTAAATTATGTCAACCTAATTGCTTGCAAGAAAACTGCCCAAATTTTTATGATGTTAATATGATTGTTCTATGGAAACATTAAGCACTCATATATAAAAGATATATTAGTATTTCACATCAATTGAATTTTAAGAATCTGCAGATAGTATATTAACACACCAACCAAAAAATTAAAAACAAAAGGATGACATCAAATAAAAGTTGGAATTCTGATTTCCTTTGGTTAACTTTTCTTCCCCCACTCGCCACCCCCTCTGATGAACGTTCTGAACCCAAGGGTGCTTTACCACTGAGCCACATCTCAAGTCCTTTTTATTTTGAGACAGAGTCTTGCTAAGTTGCTCAGTCTCATCAAATTGCTGAGGCTGGCCTCGAACTTGAAATCCTGCCTCATCCTCCTGGGGATCACAGGCATGGGCCACCACACCTAGTTCTTTAGTTAACTTTTTGAGTAATATGACTTTAACAAGTTGAACACAAAGTAACAAGTTAAATACAAAGTAAGAACATTGTTATCTAAGAGCAAACCAAAAGGGGAAAAAAAAAAAAAAAAACCCTTCTCCAAAATCAAAGTTAAATGTCTAGTAAAATAACATCCCACTGGGATGTCCAAATTCTAAGAAGTTACATGAGAAAGTAAAAGGAAAAAAAAAAAAAAGCCATCGAATTAGGAATTAACGTATAGACTTCCAAAATGGCAAAAATAAATAAATAACAAACCTTAAGGAAAGTCTTTACTGAACATGTTGGATAACATCAAGCCAACTGCGTGATACGAAAGATTGACATCTACCAAACTAGCCAATATGATAAGATGAATAGGGGCTTCTTAATAGAAGAGATTTGAAACTTAATATTTGGGACCAATAAAGGGTATTCCTACACACACATATTTCAGCCATAAGAGAGTTTGGCTCCAAGATGTAATTCAGGCTAAATTATGAACTACTGTCAGTATTATAGGCTTCAAGGGGGTGTTGTTTGCTGTTGCTATTGTACAAAGAAACTGCATCTATGGAAAATAATATTAAAATATCCATGCTTCTACAAACTCTACCCTAAAACTTCTATTTTGAGATACATCAAAGTGTCAGCAACTTATCTTCTCAAGCATCATCATCTGAGTGTATTTTTTTTTTTTTTTTTTTTTGGTACTAGGGATTAACCCAGAGGTGCTTTACCACTAAGCTCTATCCCCAGTGTTTTTTGTTTTTTTATGTTGAGACGGGTCTCAGTAAATTGCTTAAGGCCTCGCTAAGTTGCTGAGGCTGGCCTGGAACTTGTGATCCCCTAGCCTGGGCCTCCCATGTCACTGGGATTACAGGCCTGCACCACCTCACCTGGTTCTGAGTGTATATTTCTTACTTCAATCTAAAACCTTAATAAAGAAAAAGTCACATAGTGATTTTTCTTTAAGAAGTCAAACAGTCTGGATGAGGCTTGCTTCTTCCTTCTCCCAAACAATTCATAACAATATCTATTACACCCATCTCAAAATTCTGCAGGTGTTTTCACTCTATAATAGTATCACATTTTTAACCAACTTAGTGTCTAACGAAAAATGGTAGGAGATGCACACTGTTACTAACAGTTTAACATTAAAAACACAATAACCAAGGAAAATTCAGAAAAGTTTTGAAAATAACGATGTATTTTCATATCCATGTGAAATTCTTATTATTCATTCATTAGAATAATTCCAGGTTGGTGGTTTACCAACAAAAGTGGGGATGAGGAATTAGGAAATTTAAGAAAGAAGCCAATTCTGTATTTCAGACCAAAGGCCTAAAGTGCTAAACAGAAGTTTAAAATTTTAAACTACAAATTGCCTTACATAATTATTTTAATCACTATTTTATCTTCGAAGTCATCCTAACAGGTAGCTGAGGCAACCTGCCCTTGAAAAGCAGATCCACGCATACCAAATAATGGAGCACTGTTTTTTACAAGACAAGTCAGACCCTAAAAATTCCTGAAGTATAACACAAATGTTCATTGACCCCATTCTAAAAAAGTGACCTAGAACACTAGAATAGGTACACTCTTGACCTCGATCACATTCCCTGCTGCCGGTTTCTCCATTATAATTTTACAACCAGTTATTATATCTGAGGATGTTTGAATAAAACTACCATCCAGCTTAGGATTTGATATTAAATGGATAAAGCGGGTTATGAATACTTCAGAACACGTCCAGAGCATCCTGGGCCATCACACCTACACCTACTATGTCCATTTAATGCAATGCTTTAAGTTATTTAAACGTACATTAACAAAATTCACGTAGCAAAGCCATGCCTGCAGGCAGTTTGACACGTCTGAAATAACAGTGCAAATAAAATGCTTTCTGGGGGCCCCGTTTACACAGCCTCCAAATCCCACAAGTAACATCCTTAACGTTCGGCATTTTCTCGGTTGTGACTGTGGGAGGTGCGGGTGTGTCTCGGTACTTACCGATGCCCGGAGCCACATAGATGAAGTAAAGACAAGACGAGGACAGGGAGAAGAAGAAGATGAAGGCGAGGAGGGAGCGATTGGAGACCCGCATCATTCGCCTGAGCACAGACATCTTCCTCTTCCCAGCCTGCAGCTCGGGCTGCGCTCTCAGGCCGGATTCGGGGCCACCGTCCAGGCCCTAAACTTCCATGAATGTGCTATGAACCCCGAGAATACCGACGGTTCCGTGCAGAGAGGCTCTGGGAATAGGGCCCGAGCGGGAAGGAGAAAAGGGGATGAAGCGCACGGAATGAATGGGAGGCCGAGGAGCCGGGGAGGAGAGGCGCGGGAGGACTAAGGGGAAAGGTGGAGGAAGAGGAGAGTCCGGGTGGGGGTCCCGAGACCAGAGAACCTGGAGAGGCGGAGGAAGGGCGAGGACGCGCGTTCCCTCCGCCAGGCAGCGGCGGGAGGAGGGGCTGCAGGTGGGGAGAGGCGCAGGCTGCGCGCCGCGGCGCCCTGCGGAGAGCGGCAGTTAACTGCAGCACACCGGGGTTGCCCGCGGCTCCAGGTATCCGCCCAGGACCGAGCCCAGAACTCAGGGTCCCGCCGCCCGCGATCGCTCGGCGGGCCTGCGCCTCCTTCTCCGGGCCGCGGCGTCTCCTGCCTGCGCCGGGCTAGCGTGGGCGCCGGGGCCGCAGCCTGCTCACGCGACGCGCTAGGGCCCGCGGGGGCCCTGGGGGCCGAAGAGCTGGGCGCTCGCCGGCGCGCAACCTCCACCTCATGCCGCGCCGGACCCCGGCACCCTGCGGCCGCCGCGGGAGCCAAGCGCAGGCCAGGGCGGCGTCCCGGCCAGCGGCGAGCACGCTCCGGCTCTGGTTCCAGCCGCTGCCAGCTGCCCGTCCGGCCGCAAGGGCGGCAAAGGCAGAGGCATTACCGCCGCCGGCAGGGGTGAGGCGCCCCCGCCGGCGCCGCCCCCGGGACACCAGGCAAAGATCGGCTCCGGAGAAGCGCGTGGCGAGCCGAGGTGGGGAGCGCGAAGAGAAGGAGGCCGCAAGCCGTCGGAGCCGCTTCTGGGCCGGAGAAGGGGGTGGACCTGGAAAGGCGGGGGCGCCTCGGAGGAAAATCCGGACTGGCAGGCGCGCCCGGAGACCCCCGCAGGCTCCGCCCGCTCGCTCCGAACTCGGCAGGCGGCGCTACGCCGGGACCCGAGGAAACCTGGAGCCCCCGCCCTCCCCTCGCCAGAAACACCGCGCGTCCTCATTGGCCCGCGCCGCACAACGCCGTGCTACCCCCTCCGCGCCGCGGGACCCGGGCTCCCGTCGCCTCCTGCGTCACCGCCGCCCCCGCCGCCTGGGGACCCTGCGCTCCCCTCGCCGCACTGGGCTAAGGAACGCATCGCCTCCTGGCCTGCGTTCCACTTTAGGAATCGATCATGAAGGATGATATACCTGGCGAGGAAGGGCATCTCGAGAAGGGATGTCATTTCCTCCCCCAAATACTCGGAGAAAAAGATGTATTTTCTACCTGGATTAATAATTCCGCCCTCACCCCCATCCCGTCCTTCCTATAGAAACACTGTCGGAGTGCGGTATGTGCTTTATGTTAGGACTTGCCTTCACTTCTAAAGGTGGACACTGGGGTAGTCCCCCTGTAGCTTTGTGCACTCTGTAGGCCCCTGAGCACAGCCGCCCATCCAGCTTCAATGGACAAGCTGTTCGGTGCTTTAATGGACCTTCTAGGCCATGGGCTACCCTTCTTCAAATGTTCCTTCCTGCTAGATAATTTAGTCCTTAGCTGTATCACTTTTTTTTTTTCCAACAAATGTGTGCAGGCATAATTTACTTTCTCAGTAATAAAAATAGAACACCATTAATTATGACAACCTAATGTTTTAACCAGCTATTTAAGAGTATGGAGACTCGCTCTAGTGGACTAAAAATAATAAAAGAAATGTATTGTGTAACAAATTTAGAACAAAGCTTCAGCCATTATTTGCTCGGTATTCTCAGATTGAATTATCCCTCGATCGCCAGCAAATTTGGTACCTTCTTACCAAGATTATCTTAGATAGTCTCAGTGCTATGCAAGTTGAAGCCTGAACCACCTGGGCTTATAAAGCCTGGCCTTTTATTAACTGTAAGCTTCTACCCTCCTTGAGACTCTCTTAGTCCTCAAACAGTGGGTGTAATACCCACTTTGTAAGGCTGTGCGATTAAGTGGGATAACTTAAAATACTAAGCATAGTATCTGGCACAGAAAAGATTCCCTTACATCCCATTAGTTCCCTGGATGGACTCATCAAGTTCAAACTCATTTTCAATATTTTTCCTTTTGGAGTACTTTAACAGTTACTCAAGCTAATTTGATATTTAATGTGAAATGTAACATTTTTAGATGTTACATTTAAGGGGAGTTGAAATGCAAAGTGGAGCAACATATTAAATAAAACACTTGGAAAAAACTAAGCAAAATAAATTTGAATGATGAGGAAGCAAAAATTGTGGTATTGACTTCCCCTTGACATTTCATCTCTCTTTATTTACACCAGTTCAACTGATAGTTTACAAAGTTAATTCCACCAAATCATTAGTTTAGATAGGGCTCTATACCCTTTCTTACCTACCAATGGACCATTGATCCTAGGCAAGGTTGGCTTTTTAAGATAAGTTTACAACTAAGAGGAAGGTAATATCATAGAAATTGAGGGTTAATCTTGTAAGAAATGTGAAGGCTACATCTGATGTGCCTGGCTGCATAGATGACTGCCATTGGTATCTCTTCTCATTTCAACCTCATTCCTTGTGATTTGTCTTGTTAGCCAGGGCACTGCAGACTTGTTAAAACTGGTTCTCCTCTGAAATAAAGCAGGACTTCTTCTATTGTACTAGGAAGCAAAATCAAGGATACAGCCATTGTGAGAATTATATTAAATGAGTTAATACCTCTAGAAGGCCTGGTGCATGCTAATCAATATTTGAATATTTGTTAAATTTAATCTTTAAAGCTCTTCTTTCTGTCTCTTTCAGCAGAAACAAGTGATGTTTCACTTGTCCCTTTTTGTTTAAACACCAAATTTCCTAGTCTTTCATCTAGTAAGTCTCTCTCTAATACTCTGAAGGATGCCTCAAGGTCTCAGCTCTTTTTTTTTTTTTTCCTTTCAGGGCAAGGGAAGCAAGCCCAGGCTTTTGCACATGCTAGCAAGCACTCTACCACTGAGCTACCTGCCCCCTAGCCCTCAGCTTTTTAAAAAAAAAAAAAACAGGAAATATTCAAAACCTAAGAAATGCTAACTGAACCTTTCAAACCCACTCCATCAACTGATATTTCTCAGAAGCCTGATAAGCCCCACAGCAAAGGCATAACTACAGAAATTTAAGAACTTTAATATTTTATGACATTGAAAAGACTTTAAAACCTGTAATAGTAAGAATAAATTACGATGATAAGACAGAAGTGAATTTTATTCAATAGCTTTTGTTCTAAATTTATTACACCATCCATTTTTTTAATTATTTTTGGTCCACTAGAGAGAGTCTGCATACACTCAAATGTTTGGATAAAACATTAAGTTGTCATAATTAATGACTTCTATTTGTATGAATAAGAAATAAATTATAGCTGAGAGCAGTGGCACACCTCTGTAATCCCCATGGTTTGGAGGCTGTGACAGGAGAATCACTAGTTCAAAGCCAGCCTCAGCAACTTAGCAAGGCCCTAGGCAACTTAGGGAAGCCCTGTCTCTAAATAAAATACACACACACACACACACACCCCAAAAAAAAACGAGCTGGGCATGTGCCTCAGTGGTTAAATGTTCCTGTGTTCAATCCCTAGTACCAAACTTAATTAATTAATTACAGAGACCATAATCAAAATGAAAAAGAAATGCATGCTTGTTTAATGAAGTAGGTAATACTCTAGATGATTTATGCTATCTGGGTGAAACTGAACAATATTCACCTGGTGTTTTAGATTTGCACATGACCTTGGTAAAAGCAATGAAATAGTATACAGAATTTCACTTTTAAGGTGGGCATGGGGGATGTAACTCAGTGATGGAGCACTTTCCTAGCATGGAAAAAGGCCCTGAGTTCAATCCACAGCACTGAAAGAAAGAAACAAAACCTGAGAATGGTGGCACATGCTGTTTGTAATCCCAACTACTTGGGAGGCTAAGGCAAGAGGATTGCAAGTTCACGACCAGCTAGGGTAACTTAGTGAAACCCTGTTTCAAAGTAAATTTTTTAAAAGATGGGGGATATAACTCAGTGGTAGATCACTTACTCAGCATGTACAAGGCCCTGGATTCAACTCCCAATAGCAGAAAAAGGGGGAAAAATCTCATTTTTATGGTTGTTAAAAATTCAAACCTCAGTATTAAAATCACTGAATAAATACAGTAATTAAAACTTTTCTAACATGTGGTCTTAACATCTGAAATTCAGCTAAATAAAATTATTGCTTTGATGGATTTGTATTTAAAACAATTGAAATTTTTTACTTATATAATGGAATGTAGATTGTATAAAAGTTAAACATGGGCATGATTCATCAAATGAAATATATTTATTCCAAAATGTGGTACAGAAACTACTCTTAAATTTTTTTTTCATTTTAAATATGACCAACTGTAAGGATGGCCTTAGGCCTTACCTCAGCAACTCCATTTTAAAAACTCTACTTGGCAACCTGTAGTCTCACCTGTCATGTCTATGGAGCCCTCCCATATGATCATCAGGCATAGCCCTGACATAAACAAGTCACTTCTCCCCACCCTGACAAGCTCAGAGTGAAGTCTCTGTCATGTTGTCCTCAGATGCTTTAACCCCAGGACAAATGACATCACTGAGAAATCTGGTGGCAGCTGATAGGGATTGAAAGAAGCCCCCAAATTTAGTATAAATGATGGAGCAAATGAACAGACATTCAGCCAGCTGACACTGATGCCCTCATGCTGGAGAGCCTGATGAGGACCTGGAACTGACATCCCAACTCTTCTCATTGTTTGCCTGATCCTCTGCATCTTCCTCACCATTCTCAAACTCTACAGCCACATCTTGGCCCTGGTGAGAACTGCAGCTTCTCCCTATGACCCTTAACCAGCCATCAGCTCCACCCCAGGGGAAGACTGCCTTGGTTCCTGATCTGATCACCGGGGCCTGAGTCAGTGTGCATCTGCTGGACTTAAAGCCTAGGGCTTGAGACTTTTGATCTGACACTTGAGCTTAGCATGCAGAGGGAATGTCTATCAGGAGCCTCTGATGATTTAAGTGTGTTTGCAGTGCTTAGAATTAATCTAGAATTGTTTGCTGTGAATTGATTATGTCTATTGCAGTGCCTAGCATTAAGGATTGTCGTTTTCTTGATTAGGAACCTATAGAGTGAAATTGTATTGCATTATTTGAATGAATAAAGCATTGAAAAGGGCAAAAAAGCATGGACATTCCTTCTCTCCCTCCACTGCAAAAGTCGCACCATTTGCCCATCACAACACCAACATTCTGAAAAATCATATCTTTTCCATTAATATTTATATTATACTCAAGAAATTTTTAAATAATTGAGTCTTATATTTAAGAGAAGACACAATCACTTTAAAACCAGATCTTACTAATCTTATGTAATAGCTATGAAGTAATACAATACTT